ACTTTCCTTTTTTCCTAGGAACAAGTCAAGAGGGAGTCGAGCCTCCCGTCCGAACAATAACATGTGTGGCGAAAAACCGGTTATGGCATGGGGGGTGCAGTTGTATAGATATACCAACTCTGGGAGAAAATCAGGCCAACGTTTTTTCTGTTCAGGTTCTAGAGTACGCAGCAAATCATGCATGCTGCGGTTGAACCGCTCGCACTGTCCGTTTCCTTTAGGATTATATGTGGTTGTTCTAGATTTGTTGATCCCGTAGTGGCTGCACAGTTGGTTAATTACTTCTGACTCGAAGGCCCTTCCTTGGTCAGAGTGTAATTGTATTGGTATGCCATATTTGGTGAACCAGTGTTCTATTAAGACCTTTGCCACTGTTTTGGCCGTCTGATCTCGTGTGGGCACCGCGACAGTCCATTTGGTGAATACGTCAGTCATCACCAACACATGTTCCGTCCCATCCGATGATTGCTCCAACGACGTAAAGTCCATAGCCACAATCTCTAGTGGTTTTGTCGCCAGTAGGTGTCCTGATGGCTGTCTCATTTTGACAACTGGCATTTTCGCATGCTGACACCTAACACAAGCCTAACAATGGCGTTTGACCTCCATCTCCATATTGGGCCAGTAGCACCTCCGTCGTAATATTTTGTGCGTCCTGTCCTGACCCTGGTGTCCCGCCCTGTCATGTGCCAACTTTAGCACTTCTTCTCGTAACTGTCCAGGCACCACCACCTGGTGTATTGTCTCGTCTATTTGGTCATGAATTCTCCGCATGAGAACACCATCCTTTATACTGAGACGTTCCCACTGACTCAGTAGTTTCTTTGTTTCTCTATCAAACTGTTCTCTTTCCCTTCTTCTTGGGAATTTTTGTTCCTGGACGTATTTCAACAGCGGCTGTAAGCCACTATCCGTTCTCTGGGCATCTCTTATCTCTTTGTGATTAAGGCAATTAAAATCACTGATGTCCATATTTCGGGGCTCTGTGGGTGTGTGTTCCACCACAGTCTGCCCGTTTTGCATCACTTGCACCCCGTGAGGGATATCTGTTGACGCTCTGACCTCACATATTCCTGTCAGCGTTTCTTCCTCATCGCCCGGTCTCTCGTAAGGATTCCTTGATAAAGCGTCCGCATTGCCATTGGACCGCCCTGGGCGATATTTTATCTCCAGGTCAAAGAGTGCCAATTCTGCTGCCCATCGCTGTTCGATGGATCCCAACTTTGCTGTCTGTAGGTGACTCAGGGGGTTATTGTCAGTGTATACCACACATTTAGCACCTAATAGATAGTCCCTGAATTTTTCAGTCACAGCCCATTTCAATGTCAAAAGTTCTAGTTTCATGGCGCTGTAATTTGTCATGTTCTTCTCTGAATCCTTCAGAGCCCGACTGGCATACGCAATAACCCTGAAACCTTGCTCCTGTTGTTGTGATAGCACAGCTCCCAGACCTTTAGAGCTGGCGTCAATTTCTAGCCGAAATGGTTTGTCAAAGTCTGCGTATCCTAATATCGGCGTCTCTGTCAAAGCCTTTTTCAGTAGCTTAAACGAGTTCAGGCATTCCTCAGTCCATAATTCCCCTATCAGTTGTGTTTTACCTTTCTTTTTCTCCTTACTGTGTTTCTTTGTCATTTTGTTTACCAAGTCATGCAGCGGTGCGGCAATTTTTGCAAAACCAGGTACAAATTTTCTATAATAGGAAGCAAAGCCCAAGAATGATCTGACCTCTACTGTGGTTGTTGGCTGTTTCCATTCTTTAACAGCTGCAATTTTATCTGGGTCAGTGGCGATGCCATCCGACGAAATCACATAACCCAAAAAACGTACCGATTTCAGACCGAAGCCGCATTTGTCTGGGTTCAGCTTTACTCCTATCTCTCTAAGACGGAGAAACACTTGTTCTAATCTTTCTAGATGGTCCTCCCAAGTTTTTGAGTAAACTAGTATATCATCCAAGTACACCAACATTATTTGAAATAGAAAGTCACTCATAGCACTCTGCATTACTCGCTGGAATGTAGCAGGTGCATTAGTTAGACCAAACGGCATACGGGTCCACTCGTACAGTCCTAGTGGAGAAATAAATGCAGTCTTATGTTGATCGTTGGGGTGCATGGCCACTTGGTGGTAGCCACTAGCCAAATCCAAGGTAGAAAAAAATCTTGCTCCTCCCAACGCATCAAGACATTCATCAATACGAGGCAAGGGGAATGCATCCCTTCTCGTGATATTGTTCAATTTCCGGTAATCACAACACAGTCTTATCTCCCCTGACTTCTTTTTTACCACTACTATCGGTGCCGCATACGGACTTGTGCTGGTTGTAATAATTCCCTTTTTTAGTAGATCGTTCAGGTGTGCTTTCACCGCAGAGTAATGGCTTGGTGGTAATCTTCGATAAGGTTGCGCCACCGGCTTGTCTTGCAGTAAGGGTATCTGGTGTTTTATTACTTCCGTGTAACCCAAATCACCCTCGTACGAGGCGAATATATCCCTGTACTTATTCAGTAATTTATTTAATTTTGGGTCCTCAGTTTCCGGGAATGTATATGATCGGCCATCCTCTTTCTTCACCTCGGCCGTCACATTGACCGACCTAATTGTTACTTCATTACTGCTGGTATTGATCAGTTCGATGCACTGTGCCGACTTTTGTACCTCGACGTTCTGTGGTACTCCTACCAGAGTGTTAGGCGGTATAAAAATTTCCTCATCCAATACATTTGCCACTAATCCTTGAACCAGTCCATTTTCCGCTGATGTGTATGTCCGCAGTAACACGACGCCTGCCCTCAGTGCGGCGCCACATGGTTCTATCATCACATCACCATTCACGCTTCTATCACCAATTTGTAATGTGATTGCCTTGACCGTGTTTGCCGGGACTGATATCCTTCCTCTGGTCTTGGCAAACCTGGCCAACTTGGATCCCCGACCTGGTGTGGTCGATCCGACAATATTTGTAAGAAATTCTGGCAACTGGCCAAGAATATTCATGCCCAACAGGCAAGGTATATTTGACACATTTGTCTCTAGGTTGTGTTTCGTAACGAACACCCCAACCTGCTTCAACCTATGTCCCTCCACCACGACATCCGCCAGAAAATAACCACAGTATGGAATGGTTAATCCATTAGCTGCCGTTAGGCGCATGCATGTGTCAGACCTTAAACTATGGTCTTTTCCTTTCATCCATTTGGTGTAAAATTGTTCCGTAATTGTCGTCACCTGGGAGCCTGTATCCACAATTGCCTTCACCGCGATCGTAATCATCATTTCGGGACAGACTCCGATCATTTTGTTTCTTGGGCTATAACCTCGCCCCTCTGTAGCCTGACCCTGCCTTACAGAGGACGACCGTTTCCCTGACAGTACCGTGCCATATGTCCGGGTTGTGAGCAGGACAGGCAGATTGGTCGACCGTCAGCTGTCCACTGGAGTGATGGACCGGCCGGCCGCGGCTGTCCAACCTGTTTATATTTTGTCCCGTTTTTGCCCTGATTCTCTGCTGTTGACCTGCTTTCTAACCTCTCCAATCTTTGGTCAACCTTATCCAGGTGAGCCAACAGTTGAGCCATCATGGTTTCCATCGTACCGGTCCCTGTGGGTGGGGATTGTTTCTGTTCCGGCACAGAGACTTTGTCTACCGAACAGTTCGATTGGTCCTCATCCTCGGACCTGCGGATCGCTGAGTTCCTGACCTGAAGGAAGGTCAACTGTGGGTCTTTGTAGACCTCTTCTTTCAAATCTCTCCTTAAAATAGGGGTTGCTAGCCCCTCGATGAAATGGTCCCTCAGTAGGCGCACATCGATGTCGGGTGTTTTGCCCTTTACCGCATCAAAGGCCCTGTTCATTCGGTGTGAATATTCCATCACACTCTCCGCCAGTCTCTGCTTTAAGCCTACGAACCCCGATAGCAGTTGCGATCCCGACCGTCTCTCCCCAAAGGTCTCCTCAATTAGATCTAGCACCTTATCTGGATCTGTTTGGATGGTTTTATCGTGGCATTTGACCTCTGCCCTAACCGTCTCTCCTATACTGCCCATCAACAATCTTAATCTTTCCTCTGGTGACATGTATCTCGAGGCCCAGGCAGCCCTGACCTCTTCACTGAACCTGTTGGTTAAGGTTGGATCACCGTCCCCGTAAAATTTGTTGATGTGGGACTCTCTGGGCAGGACCACAATATGGGTCTGCTTCTCGTCCAGATTAGACATTCTAATTTTAATTCTTTGAGTAAAAAAAAAGACCTTTCCTACCGTGTATGTGAGAATACTTTTCCCAGTTCCTGAATGTCCGAATTCACACACACGAAACACAGTTATTAACTAGGTTGATTATGGGTGCCTAAAGCGGCTGGTCTAGTTGAATTCTTCTGCTCGCAGCGCCAAATGTTACCGAGCCTATTTGAATTCTTCTGCTCGACAACGCCAAATGTTACCGAGTCTATTTGCTTGTAGTGCCAAATGTTACCGATTTCACTGCTGACAGAGCCAAGTATTACCGAGTGTATTTACTCGTGCTACCTTTGACCAGCACACAACATCGACCACAATATAGATACTCGGAAATGCAGGTTTACATTGATCTCTTTATTACATGAATCAAAAGAAATGTTCCACATAACAACGCATCAATGTTCCACAATATTACAATGAACCAACTGACCCCCACTGTCCTCACTAGTCCTCACATAACAGAATGCACGTGTCCATCCTTCCTATTCTAACACAACTAACACAATACGTCTACACCGTTCGGCTTCCACGACTGTTCTCAACTGTCCCGTTCTCAACTGTCCGTATCTACAGTTCACCGTCTCATTATATCCCCTCGTATATGCAATAGTTTCCACTAGTTGCATCAGCCTGTCATACTGCGCCGCAGCTTTGCGATCGCCATCAATCCACATCGTTGCATCAGACTGTAATGCGTTCTTATCAATAGTATGAATCCATAGTCTTTAGTAACTTACCCTAGTTACATATATATATTTTCAGGACTTGACATTTCATTGGAAAGAGAATACTATATAGAGGGTAGAGATTTATTCTGTGCCAAGTTACATTGTGTGGAGAACACAAGAGAAGATAATGAAATCTCAGCTCTTGTCAACATGTCAGTCTATAGGATCAGTGAATTAGAGGGAAAGATTATGCTGGCGTCTGTATCAGAATCAGATTCAAGAGTTCGAGATTATAATGTAGCTGTATCAAAAGTTGATGGAAAGTTTTCAAAGGTGTTTGGAGAGTTGACTGTGTCGTTTACAAAACCTTCAGATTGTTTTAGTACAGTGTTTGGATGTGATGTGTATTACACAAATAGAAGGGGTCTCATTGAGAAGAAAGAGAATAAAACAAAACCTGTTGTCCAAGAAAATCGTAAGCCGCTGATGTTGATGTCCTTAGAGGCTAAAACTCCAGAGTTTGATAAAACAATTGATAGAATGTCTGAGTTTCTAAAAACATTTAAATATTCTAATCTGTTAAACAGTGCTAACTTGAAGATGAATTTACAGTTTTTAACAGATGACAAACATTCTAACCTTAGTTATCATAAAACAGAATTAACTAAGGAGAAGAGTGATGAAACCTTAGTTAACCTTACCAATGCGATGGAAAGTAGATTAAACAGCTTGTTATCTGCCCAAGGATCTATAATTCAGAGACTTGAAAATCAAATGAACAACGTTGTTAACAGATTGAACACCTTAAATAGCACAAATCAAGAGCTCACGCATTTTAAATACAACTTAACTGAAAACTTACTAAAATCAAATCAACAGATAGAAGCAAATAATACAAAACTTCAAATACAAATTAGGTCGGTACAAAATGTTACAAGTCTATACAGTGTTTTACAAAAGCAACTGGAGAAACTGAACTACAGTGTGGTTAATGTGTCTTTCGATGTTCAGAGTTTGTCTCAAAAATCAAATGAAAGTGAAACTCTAACAAAAATCTTGCAAGATTACAAAAACGTTTTACTAACTTTGACTAAAGAAATGATTCAAAATAGCACAGCGATATTGGAACAACGTCAAAATCTAAGCATTCAACAACTGGGTGAAAGCAACAAATTACTGACAGAGACACAGTCAAAGACACTGAATGATTTAAAAACAGCTGTATCACTACTAAACAATACTGACATCGATATACACGCCAGTATGGAAGAGATGAACAAAACCATTCAAAACCTGATTACAAAATCAGATCAAATTGGTGTCCAAGTCAAAAGATTACATGGAATTATTGGCCCTGTGCTTAACGAAAGTGAACACGTAATTTTTTTTGTATAATTTGTTTAACATCTTACTCCGCTTACTCCCAATTTGGCATTTTCCAGTTCAGCCATTACATATGACACTGTTCCCAAGAAGTTTAAATTTAAAGTATTTTAAGTAGGCATGGCATGTTTTCGAATTAGACTTACATCAATACAATGCTTAGTTGCGTCAAATGTATGAAAACGAAAATGTTTGTTATTAATTTTTTAATTTTTTTATGTATTCAGATACAATTCTGACAAATGTTAGCTGGTAATTTTTTAAAAAAGAAGATTGCTAAATCAATAACTGTTTATAAAACTTGGATTTAATAGAATGTCATTAAAATGGTGCGCGGACCTTCGACCACAGGTGCTTTGACCATAGAGGGTTTGACCATAGGGGGTTTGACCACAGCGGACCTTTGACCATAGGGGCTTTGAACATAGGGTGTTTGACCACAGCGGGCCTTTGATCATAGCGGTGCTTTGACCATAGGGGGTTTGATCATAGGGGGTTTGACCATAGGAGGTTTGACCACAGGTGTTTTCTCAGCAGAGGGTCATTAATCACAGGTGGTCTATCAACTGGTGTTTGATCACAAGCGCTGTGTCCGGCTTTGATCATAGGTGTGATACAATTAACACGATTTTATACATGTTTCCTGATAGAACGTTAATAGAAATTAACATGTATTTAAAAAAAGCCAAGATCTATATTTTAGTCTCCACATAAAGGCTGGTGCTAGGCCTCATAGATTTATTTTAAATATAAATGAAACACAAATAATGCGACATATAACAAGTTTCACAAATAAATAATGTAGATGTACTTGAAAATACATAGCATATATAAAGGATAAAAAAATGATACAAAACTTGCCAACAGCTCGTTTTACCAAACCATAGCTAATGTTTCCTTCGTGTGAATGTTGAGGATTCTTCTCCGCTATAATCATAACATCTTGTGCAACTAATGAAGCTTTGCACTTACAAGTGCGATTCTTCGTACACCGCCAAACGCGTGACCCTTCCTGGCGTTCTCTGTGTAACCAAAACTCGTGGCCACGATACAACAAAGTTCTTTTACCTTTTTTCGACGTGCTATACTCTCCAAGATTCTCCATGGTTTTGACATAGAGTAGTTTAGATGACTTGTATTTATACATGATGATTTAACATATTATTACATCGTGTCGAAATTTTAAATATAATTTAGCAGCTTTTAAAATAAATCCTTACCATATATGGACAGCATTGGACAAACCACCTAAGATCAAAGACCCTATGTGGTCAAAACACCTGAGATCAAAGACCCAATGATCAAAGCCGGACGCAGCGCTTGTGATCAAACACCCGTTGATAGACCACCTGTGATCAAACACCCGTTGATAGACCACCTGTGATCAAACACCCGTTGATAGACCACCTGTGATCAAAGACCCTCTGCTGAGAAAACACCTGTGGTCAAACCCCCTATGGTCAAACCCCCTATGATCAAACCCCCTATGGTCAAAGCACCGCTATGGTCAAAGCTCCGCTGTGGTCAAACCCCCTATGGTCAAAGCCCCTATGGTCAAAGGTCCGCTGTGGTCAAACCCCCTATGGTCAAACCCCCTATGGTCAAAGCACCTGTGGTCAAAGGTCCTAGGACCATTAAAATACGTAACATCACCACTTTTCTCTAAAGCTGAAGCTGTGCCACGAGCGCACATTTTTATAAAGTAGTTCCTTGTCTCGACCATGTTTAGTAAAATAAACGAGATATTAAATTGACTAACTTTGGCAAACATTTTTAACACATTCTTACATATATTTATGTGAATATAGTGATATTTATTCATACATAAACACGCACAAACATACCTATATGTATATAAGTATTCACATATGCATGAGTATGTATATATTCTTCGTGGACGTTTAGGTATCTAGTGCTTTGAATAAACACATTTGTTTTCAATTAATTTCGTTTGAACTAATAATAAATACAAATATGCAACTTTTTTCTCCAGTTAAAATGTACCAAAATGAACGATCGTATTTTAGTGGACTTGACGTTTACTGGAGTAGATGTTAACAGAACATTGTGTGATAACAAGACAGACGGTGGAGGATGGATTATTATACAGGTTTTGTTATTTTGTCATTTAAAACATTCTTAGACATTTACCAATTTAGCTTTTTTCCTACATTTTTTTTCTAACAGTTTTGTTGTATTTATACCATTGAAAACACATGAATAATATAAAATGATAGACAACGATAATGTTTACTTACTTACTTAATCCTCATCACTCCCTGTGGAGTATAGGGCAGCAACAAATCTCCGCCATTCCACCCTGTCCTGGGCGAGCCACTTTAGTTCATGCCAGGTTTTGCCAGTAGCCTGTACTTCTTCTTCCATCTCCCTCCTCCATGTTCCCAGTGGTCTTCCTCTATTCCTCTTTCCGGATGGGTTCCACTTCAGCGCCATGTTGGGGAGTCTTTTTTTGCTCATGCGTAGGACATGACCCAGCCATCTCCATCTCCTCGTTCGAACTTCTGAGACAATGTCGTTTAATCCTGTCCTTCGCCATATTTCCTTGTTCGGGACTTTGTCGTCCCACTTTATCCTGAGGATGCGTTGGAGAGATCTTCTTTCAAAGCCTCTGAGTCGGCTCTCTCCTTTCTTGTTTAGTTTCCATGACTCTGCAGCATAGAGGAGTACAGAACGTACATTTGACTTATAGATCCTTATTTTAGTTCTCTGCTGCAGTGAGGATGATTTCCAGATCTTAGCGAGTCTGTTGAAAGCTTGTGCTGCCATTGCTATTCTGGTGGCAATTTCTTTCTCCATGCTGCCATTTGCTGATATATAGCTGCCGAGGTACTTAAAGTCTTCGACCTCCTCCAGCTCTACTCCATTCGCAAAGGTCTTGAGAGCACTTTTGGTTTTTATTTTCATTACCTTGGTTTTTCCGGAGTTTATCTTTAGCCCAACGCCTTTGGCAATTTGCTCTATTCTTGTGGTTTTCGCTTGGATGTCTTTTTGGGCATGTGAAAGTAAAGCCAAGTCATCAGCAAAGTCACAGTCCTCTAGGTGGTTGGTAAGTTCCCAAACAATCCCTCTTGGCTTATCCTCAGTGGCTCTTCTCATAATCCAGTCTATTACCACCAAAAAGATGACAGGTGAGATATAATATATAAAATGATAGACAACGATAATGTTTAGAGTGAATTTATTTTGAAGATTGTTCTGGGATAAAAATATGTGTGTGTTGTATGTATACAATTTGGGATTTACTTATAAATCAAATCAACTTACGTATGTTTACCACTGCCGTTATTTTATACATAAACTTTATTTAATTCTTAAATATTTTCATTTCTATAAACATAATTATTCTTTGGAATCAATGAAATCAAATTGCTTAAAACTTTATTTTATCATTGTCATTACTTCTTACAGAGACGTATCAAAGGTGATGTGAACTTTACAAGAACTTGGAACGATTATAAAAATGGATTTGGTTCAACATCTGGAGACTTTTGGATCGGAAATGATGTAATTTCGAAATTGACAGATTTGGTAAGGAAATAATGGCTGCTTATAAAACTGAATTGTGTACTCAACATTACGAAGTAATACTTATGAATGTATTTAAGGGGACTGTGTTAAGGTGATTGTACCATACACGCACTGCACTATGTAGCTGTTATCTCTTTATTTCTAATGGCTAAAAAGTCACTTTATTTAATACTTGTATACACTAGCTTATTAGTTTACATATAATAAAACGGTTTCACAAAAACATGGGGACGGAGTGGTCTAGTGGTAGAGAGCTGGACTGCTAACCCGTAATCCGGGTTAAATTTAGTAGACCGTCCCTGAGTCCGAACAACCCTGATGGGTACCTAATGATAGAGAAAGGAAAGGCGGCTGGGCATACTGATCACACTATCTCTTTTCAGGTTTGAAAGGGAAACTTTACTTTACTTTTACTTTCACAAAAACATGGGGTCGTTTCATCATCAAAATTTCAATTTGATCATAACTGTTTCAACTTTATTTTTTAATTAACAAAGTATTTACTTTAAAATTGGTACTTATATGAACTTTTAAATACATTGTTTTAAAACATTAACTAACATGACACGCGTAATTATGTCTCAAACACTTCTAATTGGTTGAGTAATTTTTTATCTAACCAACAACTCTTACATAAACTACACTACATCTTCTCAATTGACACAATGCGCATGTATACAACTTCAAAGACAGTCAATTTCGGTAAACTTAAGTCTTTTCCATTTTATCGCGATATATCACATTAATTTTTTTTATTCTTATATGATCTCTGCTATATATAAATGAGATACACATATTGTAATGTTTTGATTTTTCCTGGCTTGACTTAGTTATATGCGGCGCATGGCAAAGCTGAGGATAGAATATATATAATGAATACAAATGGTGAAGGATAGGTAAAGCTTAGGGTTATGAATAGGAGATGGATAGGTAACTTGTAATCTTTATCAGCCAGCCTCGACGTTGCCTCAGCGGCGTCCCTGTTACATTACTTTGTTCATCATTCGACAAATGAAGACTGGTGTTGGTTCACAGTTTTCAACTGTTACATTACTTTGTTCATCATTCGACATATGAAGACTGGTGTAGGTTCACAGTTTTCAACTGTTACATTACTTTGTTCATCATTCGACATATGAAGACTGGTGTTGGTTCACAGTTTTCAACTGTTACATTACTTTGTTCATCATTCGACATATGAAGACTGGTGTAGGTTCACAGTTTTCAACTGTTACATTACTTTGTTCATCATTCGACATATGAAGACTGGTGTAGGTTCACAGTTTTCAACTGTTACATTACTTTGTTCATCATTCGACATATGAAGACTGGTGTAGGTTCACAGTTTTCAACTGTTACATTACTTTGTTCATCATTCGACATATGAAGACTGGTGTAGGTTCACAGTTTTCAACTGTTACATTACTTTGTTCATCATTCGACAT